CTGCACAAACGTTCATGATTTTCTCCTGTTCTCACAGGTTTTTGAGTCTCAGACACAGTGAAGCAGAGATAAGCTGTGTCTGAATCTCATATTTGCTGATGGAGAGAAATTAAGAGAAACTGCATCAGATGAGAGACTGAGAGGGTGCGTTCAGACGGCATGCTGAGAGCAGTTTAAACTGGTCCAGTTCTGATGCGCTATTTTAAAATCTGGATAATCACGATCAGTGCTCTTTTTGTAGAAAAAGCCCAGCAGGAACTCATTAGCATAATAGGCCACACCCAACATCAGAAACTCATTAGCATATTAGGCCACACCCCTGACAGCACAGCTCATTAGCACATTAGGCCGCACCCCCATGTTACCAGAAGTGTGGTTATCCAGCCACACCCACCTTTTGCTTCTTATTCTGTTTACCTTGTTTGTTGTTAAAACCCAGGGCTTTTTTTGTAGCAGGAACTCCTTTGCATGTTAGGCCACACACCCCTAATGTAGCCAATCCTAATGAGTTTCTGCTGTTGGGTGTGGCCTATTATGCTAATGAGTTCCTGCTGGGTGTGGCCAACTCAGGAGCCAGCCGGAACTCCGTTCCTGTGCGTTCCTGCCCAAAAATAGCCCTGATCACGATCACACTCACCTCCTTATCACTCACCACGCAGTCACATTGCTCCCTGCCGTCTACACTACCGGCACACGAGAGTATGTGTCGGTGCTTTTTTTAAAAAAAAAATTCTCAGTTTGCACATGCGCATAGGCAGTCATCCGTAGAATTGAAATATTCGCGCACGCGCAGAACAACTAGTTTCCCGCCAAAAGCATGCCCTGAGGTGTCTCCAACCGCTGTAACAGAACACTTTCCTTTAAACTTTTGACCTGAAAATGGCCTCTGTGATATCCCGAATTCGTCTAAACGCTAAAACAAGTCACCATTTAAACTTTGGTTGTATTAGCTTGGGAGCGAAGCTCCGCCTATGCGCACACCGCTGACGCATTATAAAAATGGCGGATGAAAAGCGGAAGCCTTGGGCTTCCGCAGCAGTTTTCCAAAGGGGAGCGGGTTGAAGCACCCAAATTATCTACATGCTACGCAGATCAATTCCCCTGAAGAAAATGGCTCCTTTGAGAATAAGAGATTGGATTTATACCCCGCCCTTCACTACCCAAAGGTATCTCGCTCGATCCTCATCGCTTACAAACTTCTTTCCCTTCCCCTCCCCACAACAGACACCCTGTGAGGTAGGTGGGGCTGAGAGAACTCTTGACAGAAACTGCTCTTTTTCAAGAACAGCTGCGCCAGAGCTATGGCTTGCCCAAGGTCATCCAGCCAGGTGCAAGTGGAGGAGTGGGGAATCAAACCCGGTTCTCCCAGATTAGAGTCCGCACACTTAACCACTACACCAAACTGGAGGGCAGACTCTTTGGCACTATTCCTGGCCAAGCCTCTCCCCTCTCCAAGCCCCACCCCCAAATCTCCAGGAGTTTCCTGACTCAGAGTAGACGACCCTAGCTCCGCACCTCCTGACAAAAAAAGTTGCATCAATACCAGAGGAAGCAATACACACAGATTTTATCTTTTCCTGACAAACTGTAGACAAAATTAGGGTTGCCCTGTTCAAAATGGTTTTACAAACTTGGTTGGAGAAATGACTAGGGGCTGTGGTCTGCGCTGCTGCGTACTGTAAGCAGGATCTTATTCATGTGATTTTTGTACAGCTTTAATGTGTCATGTGAAAACCTGCACTTTGCTTCAGTTCTTTCTGGTGGTTCCAGACGTCTAAAATTCAAACGCGTTGTTTTACTGAATGTCCCACATTGTACTGACTCACTATGTGTAATCCCCCTTCGGTTCCTGTGAGAAAGGTGAACTGTAAATAACGTAGTAGAAACGAACAAGAGTCCAGCAGCACCCTTAAGACTAACAAAGTATGTGGCAGGGTGTGAGCTTTTCTGGGTCGCTGCTCACTTCTTCAGATACTCACGAAAGCTCCTACCCAGCCCCATGTTTTGTTAGTCTTTTAAGGTGCTACTGGACTCCTCCTCTTTTCTGCTGCTACAGACAGACTCACATGGCTACCCATCTTCATCTATAAATAACGTAAATATATAAATAAAAATTAGATTTCTAACAAAGGTCAAACGCTGCCTTTCTCCCCAATACCGACTACCTCATTCTCTCACAACAACCCTGTGAGGTCAAGAGAAGCCGAGAATGTGTGCCTGGCCCAAGGTCGGACATCGTCAGCAGCAAAGTGGGGATTTGCACCTAGACTTCCTAGATCCTCATCTGACACTCCACCCAGTTTGGTGTAGTGGTTAAGTGCGTGGACTCTAATCTGGGAGTCACCTGGAGATCAGTTGAAATCCCAGGAGATCTCCATATATAAATAAAAATTAGCTTTCTAACAAAGGTCAAACGCTGCCTTTCTCCCCGATACCAACTACCTCGTTCTATCACAACAAACCTGTGAGGTCAGTGAAGTGGAGAATGTGAGCCTGGCCCAAGGTCAGACATCGTCAGCAGCAAAGTGGGGATTTGAAACTAGACATCCTAGATCCTCATCTGACACTCCACCCACCAAAGCACGCTGGATCTGACACCTCAGGGAGGCTTGCAACCTTAAAGGGGATATTTTCCACCCTCCTTGTGCAGTTTTTTCTTCCCGATGGGGGCACAAAACAGCTTACATTGTTCTCTCCACCAGAGTCTCACAACCACCCTCTAACCACCAGCCCCAAACAGGCCCTGATAGGTCAGAGAAATGGTTAAACTGCCTGCATTTTTCACAGGTGTATTCCCCCTCCCCCCGTCTGTGCTTTCCTAGCACTGAATGAGTAAATCTTTGCCTCCATTCCAAAAAAGTAGAAAGATGTTACAGAGTTAATCTGCTTGAGGATAGTCCAGTTCCCCTGTATTTTTGGCAGTGCAAAAACCCACCATCCTCCAGAAGCAGGTGGCCAATTTTAAAGCCTCCTCGCTTTATTGTATGCCTGTCTCAGACAACCAGTTTCCAAAGCGAAAAGCCAGGGGTGTGTGTGGAGATAACATGGGTTAACATAACTGCTTTGGACCGGCACTCTTGTATATGTCCAGCTTATACGGGAATAGGTTTTGTTAGGCCTGAAGGTGCAACTGGACTCCTGTTTAAATTCAGAAGAGATCCCTGTTTCTAGGCAACCATTAACAATTAAGGAGGAACTAAAAGTTTGCAGCTGAAGTTTCGGGGCTCAAAACAGGAGGTTCAGGCTGCGTATGTGAACTGTTTTGTTAGAAAGTCCCTGCTTCAATCCTATGCACACTTACCTAGAAGTAAGCCCCACTGAATAATAGGGCTTACTTCTGAGTAGACTTGCCTGGGATCACACTGCTCCTTCGCCCTTTCCCCCTTCACTGTCTGAAGCCCCGGCAGCTGCGATACCTGCCCTGCTGCCAATCTTGGGCACTGTGCCGCCCCCAGCTCTGGCCGGCTGGAAACTCCCATAGGCCAAAACTGAACATGCTCTGGGGAGACTGGAGTAGGTAGAGTTTTTGGACAGGGAGGTGTTTTGCAGAGCCATTTTCTCTGGGACTGCAGCTCTGCTTTTTGTTCCATGCTGGGCCAGGTGCTGCAATCCATGAAACCCCACAAGGGCACCCCCCTCCAGGGCATCTATGGCAGAACACCTTCAGCTGCTTAAATGTGGAACGGCACTGCTCCAGAGGGCATGAATAGCCATCCCCCTCCAAGTCCCAGGCCATCACCAAATAGGTGCTCTGGTTCAAACTGGAGAGCCAGTTTGGTGTAGCGTTTAGGAGCACGGACTCTAATCTGGAAGAACCAGGTTTGATTCCCCACTCCTCCACATGCAGCTGCTGGTGTGACCTTGGGTCAGTTACAAGTTCTTTGAGAGCTGTTCTCAGGGGCAGTCCTCAAAAGAGCTCTCTCAGCCCCACCTACCTCACAGGGTGTCTGTTGTGGGGAGGGGAAGGAAAAGGAGATTGTAAACTGCTCTGAGACTCCTTCGGGTAGTGAAGGGCAGGGCATAAATCCAATCTCCTCCTCTTCTTGAGATGGTGCTAGCCATGAGCTGCTCAGCATGGCCCTTTTGGGCAATGAATTTAAGCATGCGTTTGACTTCCTCCTGCTGCCAAAATATCCCTCTACGTTGAGGCATTTTCAGTGGAATAATAACCCTGTGCATAACTGTGATCTTACAAAGGAGGGCTGAGAGGTCTACATTTGAATTAGCCTATATGGCATCCCTTGCAGAACTCCAAAGCATGCCAGAAAGAGAAACTGACACCCAGACCTCCATGAACGGTTACATCGACACTGAGGTGCTGTGACAGAATTACCTATTGAGACCGATTTCTGCATTTGGAGATGCACAAGACCGCCACATCTTCGCTGCGCATTGCAGCCCATGGGCACTGGAATGTCACCCTGAACACTGTGCATCAGTAGCATTTGCTGTGAAATCAGCTACAGTAGAATCGGCTGCCTAGGGAGGTGGTGGTGAGCGCCCCCTCACTTCAGGTCTTTACGCAGCGGCTGGACAAACACTTGTCAGGGATGCTCTAGGCTGATCCTGCATCGAGCAGGGGGTTCGCCTAGATGGCCTGTAGGGTCCCTTCCAACACTGCGACTCTATGATTCTATTGCTGTTCGGTTCCCAAACCCACCCACGACAAACGCAAGCGTCCCCGATGCCAAAAATGGAAAAACCCCAGTGAGAAGGCCACAATAATGCTGGAGTTGCCCCCATCTCTCTCACCTTCCCCCTCCCCTCTGTGCAACCTCTTTTTAATTTTTAAAATAATACCACTAGCAATAGCGCACTAATGGAATGCCACCCTCCTCCTCTCCTGGACAACCACCCAGGTCTCGGTCTCTGTGCATGTTGAGTTCAACCCCCCCGCCCAGCCCCGAAGAGTTATTAAATGGTCGACGGGTGTTTCAGGAAAGGTAAAGTTTTTATTGATGTGAAATGCTACATACAGAAGGCTGAAGACAAAAAAAATAATCATGCACACACCCCTGCTTTCAGCACTGCAGGTTTGCAATCATGTAGTTGGCTACGACTTCTCTTACAGCTTCTCCTTCGGCTAAACACTGCGCGTCATTCGGGTCAAAGTCCACCGTCTCCTCCGTGTGCACTCTGGCTGGTTTAGGATCACAGTGGTCCGCCAGGGTGTGCCCCTGCTCAGAGTGTTCTGCCAATATTTCATGTCCCTTTTCCTCACAAATATTGTGCAGGATGACACAGGCTCTGACTAGAGAGGTCACGTTCTCCTGAAACACATTGAGGCGTGCGGAGAGGCACCGCCAACGAGCCTTGAGCCGTTCAAAGGCACACTCGGCCACGTTTCGTGCCCGATGCAAGGCGGAGTTAAAGTTCCTCTCACGCCTGCCCCTGCATTGGTCAAACGGCTTCATCAGCCACCGCCTCATGGGGTAGTCTCCATCCGCCACTATGAGGGCTGGAACAGACAGCCCTTCAAGATGGAGGATAGGGTTCCCTGGAACATACCCTCCGGCGTCCATGGCAGTGCAGAGTGTGGAGTTGCTGAAGACAAAAGCATCCTGGTTGCTCCCACTCCACTCCATCTCCGCATTGGTAAACCGTCCAGTATGGTCCACAGTTCCCTGCAGCAGAACGGAGGAGTATTTCTTGACGTTCCCATGCTCGTCGAGCCCCCTGCCCGGGGCGCGAGTCAGGAGGGGCATTCGGTCTATGGCTCCAATACAGTGAGGGAACCCCAGGCGATCAAATCCATCCATTATCTGAAAGGACAGCAAGTATGTCATTGGAAACAGCAACGGCATATGATTTGAAAATTCCCCTCCCAAAAAAGTAATTATGTTCGCACCGGACCTTGCAGTAAAAGATACTAGTGCAGGATAAGAACATAAGAGACGCCAATGTTGGATCAGGCCAAAGGCCCATCCAGTCCAACACTCTGTGTCACACAGTGGCCAGAAATACCAGTGCCATCAGGAGGTCCACCAGTGGGGCCAGGACATTAGAAGCCCTCCCACTGTTGACCCCCCCCATCTATACCTTGTGGCTAATAGCCACTGATGGACCTCTGCTCCATATGCTTATCTAATTCCCTTTTGAAGCCGTCCATGCTTGTAGCCGCCACCACTTCCTGTGGCAGTGAATTCCATGTGTTAATCACTTTTTGGGTGAAGAAGTACTTCCTTTTATCCGTTCTAACCCGACCGCTCAGCAGTTTCATGTATCGATAAGAGAGAGATCTTTTTTTTAAAGGGGTTACCTTAGCAACGTCGGGACCTAGGCAGACAGTCTTGTGATACAGCTCTACCTCCATCGCGAAACAGACCTCGAGGACCACCTCCCCGACCGTAGACACTCCAACACCAAACTTCTCCCCGACCTCCCTGTAGGTATTTGCACTGGCCAGGTACCAGATGGCGATCGCTATGCGCTTCTCCACAGGAATGGGCTCGCGCATGCTGGTCTTGCGCCGCAGCAGCCGTCCTTTCATCACCGACACAATCTCGGAAAACGTTTCGTGGGTCATCCGGAAATTTTGCAGCCACTGTTGGTTAGCCTGGAGTCCGAGCATGACATTCTCCCACCAGCCCGTGTTCCTCGGGCGTACCCAGTAACGATGGGGCACAGGCACGCCAGCGAGGGCAAACCAATGCATCCGCGCCCGACGCGAGTACCGATCGATGTTGCCGAGCAGCCGTCTCCGCCTCATGCTTGACCTCCTCCCGGCTGCTAGGAACGTCCTCCGCTTCACGCGCATCCAATGCGTGTAAACGGAACAGAGAGCGAGGAACCTGCTCTGGCACAGAACAATAAACTGCAGTAGAGCCTTCTGCAACTGCTCCAGCTTCGCCATGTCTTCACTGGCCAGTCCTGAAATTGGAATCCAAAAAGAGATTCTGTGGCCTCAAAATGGCTATACCAGAAAAAAAAAAAGGACAAACCAAAGAATCCCCCTACCCCACCAGTGACCTCTTTAAAAAAAAAAATCACCCCACTCAATCATGAAGCAAACATTGTAAGCTCTTGGAGGATTGGCTACATTAGGGGGGGTGTCGCCTAATATGCAAAGGAGTTCCTGCTGCAAAAAGAGCCCTGCATGATTTAAAAACCACAAGGAGAGAAGGAATCAGACCAGTCATGTCTATGGAGGGGTGTGGGAAGGGAGATCCTTTAGTGGTGCGTCACAGTATCACTCTAAGCCGTGGAGTCTCGTGAGCAGAAAATTCTACTTGGTGAGCTACCGGCATTAAAGTTGTGAGCGAGCGATTCGGCTGCTGCATAAATTAGTTTGCTCTGGAGCCCTCCTTCCTGAGCTACGACAGAAATGTCTGAGCCGGACGCTAAAAAGCTGTGAGCTAGCTCACACCGACTCAGCTTAGAGGGAACACTGCACCAGAGTACATGCACACAATTTAAAAAAAACTGCAGGGGTTCCGTGACGAAAGTCTCACTGGAAGAGGAGGAGGATAGTCTTTTAGTGTTACGTTGCAGTCTCGATATGTGCACAAAAAAATTAAAAAGGTGGGGTTGGTGCTGTGATGCCCGCACCTTCACAGGATACTCCTGATTATTTGACCACATGCAGAAGAAATAATCCAATTCTGCAGCAGAAGCAATTCAGAGAAATGGCAGACATGCAGAACGACCATACTCAAGCCAATTCCAATGCTTACGGGTCAACTACCATGAAAATTCAGAGGAGTAATCTGAGTAGGTGGCCCAAAGCCTGGATTGCAGACCTTCCAACATAATGTCTCTCATAATGAAAAAAATCCTCACAGGTTATGCCTTGTCTGTTTCTCTAATATGGCCATAAAGTAACTCACCCTCCATCAGCTCTGTCAGGATCTCTGGAGATTGTTCTAGGGAATAGTCCAGTGTGTCTTCGGAAGCAAGGTCTTCCTCTGAAAATCTCTCCGGCATCACTGCCATGGCTGAATCTTCTTTGGGAGAGAAAAAAGAGAGACTTCTTGCTCTGGCAGGAAACAGAATCTAAGAACGGAGAAACTATTTCTGCCAAGACTTAAGATTTGAGCCTACAACGCTAGGCACTATCAAAAGGAGCCCAGATTAATTTTAGATCCAGACAGGGCTGTCAGGCCTCTCGCTATAGTGGGAAGCCTCCTGTCAGCAGCCTCTCCAAGCAACAGAGGTAGAATTTAAAAAAAATTAAATTAAAAGACAGTGATGTTGGCTAGGACAAAACCTACGAACTGCCTGAAACTCTATGGTTTTCGTTTAGCATTTCCAACAGCTCCTAGAACTACACAATGTCACTTCCAGGTTCTCCTGTAAATTAGGTAGCCACGATCACACACACCCTTCTGTGCCCTCAACCCTCCCCACTGGTTACCAGGTTGAGTCTGACAACCCTAGATCCAGACATGAAGGGATGTGACAAAGCTACACAGATACCAGCCAGGAATCCCCAGGGGAAGACTGATCAACATACTCTCGGTGGAAAGAATCTAGAACCCTAGTTCGCAGAATCTGAAGGGCTATTCCCTCATCATATCAAAAGAAGTACCTGTTAAGCTCCTCGTGTCCTCTGAGTCTTGGACATCCATCTCATCCATTTCCTCCAACCTGGAAATGAGGTCAGGTTTGTAGATCCAAGATTCTTTTTTTGAAAAGATAACAGACTGGTTATTTACGTCTTTGCAGCTGTCTACTTTAACAATCATCAATTCTCCAGGAAACTTAATAACTTGCATTTGGAGGAAGGGGGATAAAGGACAGAGAGGGACCTCTTCCAGAGAATTCTCGGGACACTCACAAAATCACTCAGGACTTCCCCCTCTTACCACTTGCTTACCCAGAAAGGCCACGTTGCCATAGGTCTCCAGCATGACTTCCCTGTAAAGAGCTCTTTGGCCAGGACCCAGCAGAGCCCACTCCTCGTCTGTGAAATACACGGCCACCTCCTCGAAGGATAGGAGGCTCTGAAAGAAGGGAAGGAGCCTTTGCTAACAACAGACAGGTCCAAGTAGAGATTTTAATTTTTTTCCCCCTTGCAATGCTTCAAGTGAGAAAGGGGAGCAGAATTCACAGCCTACCTTGCACTGACATCTTGCAATAGGAGGTGACAGGCTCCCTTGACAGAGGAAGGGAGACGCAGTCCCTTCCTTTCTTATCTCCATGACTTGATTCTTATGCAAAACAGCTGGTTCCTCTCTTCTGCAAATAGGTGGTGATCTGGACCTTCTCAGTGATCACTTTCTGCTGTGAGTAAAACAAATGTGTATTGGGAAAATGTCCCCACTTGTAACTCCTTTTCCAATCTGCGAGCAGCAAGATGCTAGAAGGCAGTGTTCCCTCTAAGCTGAGTTAGTGTGAGCTGGTTCAGTCTTTTCGCCTCCAGCTCACGCATTCTTGTCTCAGCGCAGGAAGGACGGCTCCAGAGCAAACTAATTTATGCAGCAGCCAAATCGCTCACTCCCAGCTTTAATGCCAGTAGCTCACCAAGTAGAATTTTTGCTCACAAGACTCCACAGCTTGGAGGGAGCACCGGCTACAAGGCAGCTGTAGAACCACCTTGCAAATACATCCACAAAAGATGCCAGTTCACAAAGCCTTAGCCCTGTAGCGCTCAACTTAGAACGTTAAGAAAAGCGAGAAAGATCGAGTGGCAAAAAAAGGGTGGGGTAAAGCGACACTATCAGAAGCACTGCAGACATTTTAAACAGCACGCTACGATTCAGAAGCGCAAAGAAGAGGTGAAAAAAATGGAAGAGAGCACTTTACATCAAAAACTCACTCAGTCCTGCTTTGCCAACGGGACACGAGCTGCTTTGTATGAAATAAAATCCATTAGCAGCTGGTTATTAAACGACTGGTTGAAATGACAGAAAAAATCCATTAGCAACTGGCTACTAAAACAGATTATAAAAGCTGCTTTAAAGGGGCCTTTGTCTTAAGAATACCCTTCTGTAATATTTGTCCTCTGTTGTCACAAATGATGACTGTGGTTTCTGTGGCCAGAACCTTGAGTGATCTCAGCAAGTCAGGATTGATTACTTTTAAGATAAAACTTTCTTGTAAATTTACATTTTAACTAATTTTAGCTGACCACAGACTTCTTCAGGAGACTTAAAACCCACACTGATTCTTCCACTGGACTTCTGGATTGTGTACTCTGGGTCTGAAAGCAATGGGCAGGGGGTACCCTTTTGCCATCCCTTTTTCTATGTTCTGGGGTAGTCTGAGGACCCACAGTTACAGTGGTGCTGGCTAAACTGTAAGGAGTAGGGTAGACAGGATGCCCATGCAGCCAGCCACCCCAACCACGAATCAAAAAGGAAGAAAATTACCATGGATGTACGCAGACCAAGGAGGCCATCCTAAAAACACTCTCCTGCCAGTAAGCCCCATTTAGGGAGGGAGGGGGTGTGGCTCAGTGGTAGAGCATCTGCTTGGTATGCAGAAAAGTCCCAGGTTCAATCCCTGCATCTTCACTTAATCTGGCATAGGCTGCATTTTAGATTACCAGAGAGTCAGTATGGTGTAGTGGTTATCATGGGTGTCTGGTTCACTATAACTAGCAGGCTGCAAGTTGCTTACTAATAGAGACAGAGATGGTTACATGGATTGTATAGAAAACTATGTGGTTCACTTTTAAACCCAAACTAACTGCTTATTAAAATATCCTCACTACAACCCCCCCCCCCAAAAAAGTGTAAGAGTCCAGTAGCATCTTAAAGACTAACAAAATCTGAAGTAACAGATCTGAAGAAGTGAGCAGTGACTCACAAAAGCTCCTACCTTGACTCAAACGCTGTTAGTCTTTAAGGTGCTGCTGGACTTTTGCGCTGTTCTCCTGCTAGACAAACACAGCCTACACCCAAAACACACAGAAAGACCCCAAAGCTGGATTTCAAGGTCTCCTGGGCTCTTCATCAGACTGGCCCCTCAAAAACAAAGGAATGGGAGGAAATCATCGAAGGCTGAGGTCACAGTCCTTTCCGTATTTGCCTGCCATTCCAGATTTTCTCAGTGTTCAAGTCAAGGCAATTTAAGTCCCTGGCAAAACAGTATTTAAATAACCCTGGGGCAACAGCAGGCTGAAACCAGGCTGATCACTGAAGGGAGGTAATGTAATGCAGAAGGGGGGGGGGACCAAAAATCCAAAGGCTGAACTTGATTTTAGTGCAGGGTGGGGGGGGAAACCCTGGATTAAAAAGGCTGAGTTCAATTTTATTGCAGAATTGCTTGGAGGACACCACAGTGAACATAGATTAAAAGGAGAGTGCGGAACATACTAAACAATGCACTTTCAAAGCACTTTCCAACTGAATCTTGTCAGTTCCACACAGTAAAATGCAGTCGGAAAGTGCTCTGAAAGTGGATTATTTATTTAGTGTGTGTGACCATAGACCACGACACGCTCCTGAGGCCGTTTTCTCTGCCTCTAGGGAACAACGGATCGGTATCAACGGGCACAGGGGATTGCTGAGATTAGGAGGCAGCCGCGGCGCGCCGGGAAGCGGCAAAAAAAAAAAAGGAAACCGGGCAATTAAAAACAATTAAAAGCAGTTAACAAAAATGTGTCTCTGCGGCACAGAAGCAGAGCAAAAGAAAAAGGCAGCAACCCTAATCGTAGGATTTATATTAGAATCCCACGCAGCGAACTCCAGCCAGAAATCCATCACTTTCAATGGGTTTATGCTGCAGCTAACTGGAGTGGTTTGCCCGGCCAACGCGTACTCAAATGGCAGCTGAAGGCAAAAGCGCAAACACGTCAGCGTCTTTCCCCAGGTTCTGGTTCCTCTTCTGGCAGAGCCCCTAAAGCCTGATATCCCCCAAAGGAAACAAACAATCCATACCTGGCCTACACCCGCGCAACGAGCCCCCATAGAAACCGCGCCAGGAGAAAAGGGTCGGGGGGAAAGCCAAATACTGGCGCCAATCTGGAAGGAAGGGGAAGACTCACCTACGGGCAGGTCGCTCAAGAGAGCTCAGCAGGCAACGCGGAGGCCGGAAAAAGAGTTTCCCAAAACGGGTTCTCGCGCCAGAAGACTAACTCGCGCGTTAAACTCCGAGAAAAAGGGGATGCAACTTCTCTCCGCTCATCCATACAGAGAGGAGACACGTGCTTGGAGGCGGGACTGTAGGTCAGAGGGGGCTCAATCATTGGGCAAAAACGAATTTCAAGGGTGGAGCGTCCCAGAAGGAATTTTGGGACGAAAATGCTGCGGGAGTGGAAGATCGGCTGGGTAATCGGTGGCTATTAAGAGTTAAACGTGTTTTTCTCTCGTCCCCCCCTCCGTAGTGGCATTATTAAGTCCCCCCCCCCATGACATGCCCGCCTTTTTTTTGTCCGGCCCACTGTCGAGTTGTTTATTGTGCCTGCGGGACGTCACAGGGCTCTAAAGGGAGAAATGGTGCAAGGAGAGGTCCCCCCTTTTGCCTCCTCCCTCCCCCGCAGTCGTGATTTTGAAGATGCTGCATATTCTTTCTATGGCTTGAATGGGGATTTCAACTGGATAATAGTACACCCATGTAGAAATGTGAAGGCCCGGAAAAATTCGGGGAAAAACCGGGGTTTTTCCGTTTTTTTCCTGAAGCCTTTTTGGTTTTTTCCAAAAAATTGGCAAATCATTTCTAATATATATATATATAATATATATATATATATATATATTTGGTATATATATATATATATATGGTATCAGATTGATGTAATTTCTGTGCACTGAGGACAAGCAAGTCCTAGGTTACAAACTGAACTCTCCAATGCAAGAATAAGATGCATTTCTTCCTTTAGGAGGTGCGATTGTCAGAAGAAAATTAAAAAGTTTCAGTTTTGTTTTTGCATGTGGGTGGGTATTCTGTAATAATTGTTTGGATACACTATATTTTTAATATGCTAGTTGTGATAATTTCATGCCAAGTAAAAATGTCCATAGTCATATTTTATGTTCCTAAAGTAACAGAATGATTTTCAAACTTGAAAAAACAAAAGGAAATGCTAATGTAGCATTTTTTTCAATTTTTCCAAAAATTTCCGTTTTTTCCCGAGCTTCAAAATTTCTGGAAATTTTACAGCTCTATACCCATGGGCGCCCGCAGAACAATGACATCCCCAGGACTTTGCAGGGATATTGGTTTCTTCTCCAGATGGTGTTGCTCAGATCGGAGGCCAAGCAAAGTTGAGAAAGGCAGCAATCTGAACCTTTTCTACTCAAAACTGAATCCCCTATTATTTAACAGCACTTACTCCCAGGAAAGTGTCCTTAGGATTGCAGCCAAAGTGGCCCTCAGTTGACAAGTTCCCCCTCAAAGCCCCGTCTCCCCCAACACCTCCTCTTGCTCTGCCCATTCCCGTCCTAGGCACCCGACTCAAGAAAGCGAGCCATCTTGATTCTGGAGTTCATCTGTTTGTGCCTGGGGTTACTGCTGTATTTATTTGTTTATTTATTTATACCCTGCCTTTCTCTCCAATGGGGACCCAAAGCAGCTGACCTCCTTCGCCTCCATTTTATCCTCATAACAACCCTGTGAGGTAGGTCCGGCCAAGAGAGACTGGCCAAGGTCACCCAGCAAGCTTCCGTGGCTCAGTGGGGATTCAGACTTGGATTTCCCAGATCCTAGTTGGATACGTTAACCACAACACCGCGCCGCGCTGGCATATGATGATAGAGTTTTCCAATGCCATTCTTTTATTGGTGCTCATAGACTAACAGGTCATAAGCAAAACAGAGGAAACATTTTAACAGTATACAGGCAACATGGGAACAGAGAAATACAGAATTAAAAATAAAAGATTTACATTAAGAGATAATGCCATAGACAAAAATTTTGCCATGGCAAGGGTCATATTTGGGTAAGTATCTGTTAATAGCTTAGCTATAATCTCTTGCTTTGCAGCAGGGCTCCATTTTTTGGATATAAAATGTGATCCAGTTGTCACAG